GGCTTTCAAAACAAAATAAAATTGAAAACTGCCTTTTTTTTTTTTTTTTTTTTTTTTTTTGGTAATCTAACTTTAGTGTTTTTAAAATACATTAATGGCAATTCCCTCCTTGAATTTCTAGTAGGTGTAGAATATCATTGAGTCCTGAAATTAACATATGAAATCTTTGTTAAATAACCTCAGAACAAAGTCCATGTTCACCATGGTACTGCACCCACCATAAATAGATACAGGCCTAGGCCATGTCACAGAAATTTATAATTATTAGTCAGATCACAGATTTGTGTGTATGTGTATCAGACTGTTTTCTTTTCCCAATGGACTATTATCAAGTCTAATTATTATAAGTGATAATAAAGTTAGAAATTAGAAACATATATTTGGTCATTTATTCTCACCTCCTCCTCTCAATAGACTCCCTGTTTATAGTTGCAGTGGACTTTCTTTCTTTCCTAATCCTTGTAACAATCCTGGGTGGTAAGTAGTAGTGTCCCTGTTTTAGAAGGAAAAAAATAGAACCTCAGAGAGGTTCCCCACCTTGTCCAGGAAGAATCATCTCTGGTGAATGACCAACTATTAAACTTGGTAGTCTGACAAAAAAAAAAAAAAACTGCAATTTTTAACACCTCAAGTCCGTTTCTGTTGCTTACATATCTGCCCTTTCACATACACCCCACACCCTCAAATCTGTGATTGTCCTGTTTGTCAGTGACGAAAAACACTGGGAGGAGGCTGAGGCAGCCCTGGTTTATTTGTTCATTTTCTTTTCTGTACTGTTCATTTCGTGTCAGTCTTCTCTCAAACTAGTCTTTGTATTAGTCCTCCCGTCCCCTTTTTTGGGTGGGGATTTGAGGCAGGGTCTCACTGTCTAATCTATACCGGCTTGAAACTCAGGGCAGTTTATCTGCCTCAGCTTCCCACAGGCTAAGATTACAGGTCTGAGCCACCGTGCCCATCACTAGTTCCTTTCCTGCCAGAAAGGAAACCAAAAATAAGAACATTCATGTTTTAACTTTTTAAAAATAGGTAAGAGACTTTATTCTAATAGCTATAATTTCAGTGCTTGTCAAAGTGACAGCTGAAAACAAGTGTATAAACAGTTGATTGCTAATTATGTACTAAAAGCAGTAAAATGCTCCACAACACCAAATAAACCAGTTCTGAGGTTTCTCTAAGACAGATTGAACAGCTCCAGCTTCTTTAGTGTTTATCAAAACACAAAAGGAAAAAAACCAAAGGTCATCTTTGGATGGCAGGTCAGACCCTTGCAGGCGGAGGGAGGCAGCTGCTGCACACACAGAGATGGCGTGCTCAAGGATGTGGGGCTGGAGTGAACCTACCCTGCCAGCTTATACCAGCTCCTAGGCTGCCACCAGCATGTCCAAGTGGGCCCAAGAACAAGGTGCCAATGTGGCTTGCCTTCTAGCCCAGCCTTCCACTAGCCAAGGACAAGGCCCTGCACCCTCATGGCTGCCAGCCTGCCCCATTGTGACCACAAGTACAATCAAGCTATGGCATGCAGGTGACCCAAAGGCAGTCAGGTCACAGGGTCTCCACTGGTCATGCAGCTGATTGTGGTTTGTTCCCACAGGTAACACCTATCCAGTGGGCTAGTATGCAGGCTGTTACTGCAAAACTTCCCCAGGCATATCCCCACTTCTGTGTGTTGAAGTGTTCTCGTCTTACCTTTTTTTAAAAGCACTGAGTTTGGGTTAAAAACCAACCACCAAAATGAATCCTAACACTGGTCTACAGCCTATAGGCTCCAGGAATCCAGTGCCCTGACATCCAAATCCCTCCTCACTACTATCAGAGAATTGGTTCTCTTTTCAGAATCAAAAGGCTAAGTAATACTGCATAGGAGTACCAGAAATTGGGTAGAAACAGAAACTATTTACATTATATAAAACCTGGCTATAGGCTGTATGTGCATGGGACCGACCCATGAAGACAGCCATGGCACTCAAGACCATGAAGTCGTCATGCTTGCCACATGAAAGGAAAGCTGAGGGCAGAGAAGTAAGATAGGGAAGGATCTGGTTCACTTCTTCTGGTTGCAGACCTGATTAGACAGCCAGTCTAATCCTCTAGAGAGCCATCCCCGCTGGTGAGACAGGTGACCTGAATGTACCAGTTCTGTGGCATAGAGAGTGCAGCCCCAGCTTGTGTATGTTTCAGCTGTACTCGTGCCAGTGGGAGTGGGGGCAGTTAGTGTCTGTCTGCTTGTTGGCAAACACCACAGAAGCATCGCATAGCTCAGCCTCAGCCAGCATCCTGATGACTCCTCAGGAACCTCATTCATATGCTGTCTATTATGAAGATCAAGCCGTGGGTGTTGTGGAAGTAGCACCACAGTGGCCAGTCTTGTCCTGGCTGCCCACACCCCATGTGGTGAAGCTGATGTCCTTGTGCTCAGCAGTCACCCTGAGACCAGTGGTGGGGGTGACGACTGTCGTCTCACTGGGCTGCAGTTGTAGAGAACCCTTGTCTTACTGTCCGGGCCCGTCCTGAGAATGTACATTGCTTTTCTGGTTTGCAAGGGTCTTTACCATGCTAGTATAAATATAGAAGTGATAGAGCCAGAGACCTCTGCAAAGGCTGCTCAGAACCAGGCACTGGTTTCACTCCCAGAAGATGCTGGGGTTCTCAGTGTTTTAACTTGGACTGAATAGTTAAGCACAGTGTTAGGAGAAAAAAAAACAAAACAAAACTAGAATAGAATGTTGGTAGAATATTGGATAATTTTACAGTTACTAAAATGTATTTTATAAGCAACCCCAAAAATTCTACCAGGGAACTCCTACAGCTCGTAAACACCTTTAACAAAGTGGCTGGATACAAGATTAACTCAAAAGAGTAAGTAGCTCTCCTATATACAAATGATAAATGGGCTGAGGAAGAAGTCAAGGAAACAACACCCTTCACAATAGCCACAAATATTATAAAATATCTTGGGGTGACTCTAACCAATCAAGGGAAAGACCTGTATGACAAGAAGTCTTTGAAGAAAGAAATTGGAGAAGCTATCAGAAAATGGAAAGATCTCCCATGCTCAGTGGCAGCAGAGGCTGTTTTTGACTCTTTACTGACTTTTGGGACCCTATTCCTCATATTGGGTTACCTTGCCCAGCCTTAATACATGGGGAGGTGCTTCGTCTTACTGCAACTTGATATGCCGTGTTTTGTTGATATCCATAGGAGGCCTGACCTTTTCTGAACAGAAGCGGAGAATGAGGGGATGGGAGGGGCAGAAGGGAGGTGGGAGGGGGGCTCGGAAGAGAGGAGGGAGGGGAAACTGCAGTCGGGATGTAAAATAAATTTAAGAACTTAAACAATTATGTCTCAATTATTGTGATTGTCTACACAATAGTTCTCAACCTGTGAGTCACAACCGCTTTGGGGGTTGAACAACCCTTTCACAGGGGTTGCCTAAGACCATCAGAAAACTCAGATATTTATAGTTTATAACTAACAAAGTAACAGTTATGAGGTAGCAACGAAAATAATTTTTTGTTGGGGTCACCACAACATGAGGATCTGTATTAAGGGGTCGCAGCATTAGGAAGGTTGAGAACCACTGGTCTACCATGCACTGTTTACTGTCCTAGACTTAGGATATATAGAGCTGAGGAAGTAATAGTTCAGGGCCCATGCTGTCAAAGGTAAGTTCTAGTAACTGTGAGAAATGTTAAATAAATAATGAAAATATTTATAAAAACAAATTTTAAAACCCCACACTGTGTGTGAGTGCGCATAGCAAAGAGATCTGTGGGCATAATAATGGGAGTGGGGATGGCACTGTAAAGGTCAGATCAGATGGTTTGGGGTCTCAAAGGTTAAGGTTTACTGGAGAGTAGTAGCCATACTGTATTGACTCGTCTAATTGTGGAGAAAGACTTAGTGGTACTTATCTAAGTAGTTTGTTAATTATCTCCATAATTCTGGTAAAAAAAAAAATCTTGCATATTTGGAGTCATCAAGAGTGGGATTCCAAATCTGATAAAAATATATATGTAATACGTTTTGTATATATAGTGCTTTTAGAAAGAAAATGGACTAATTTCAAGCTGTAAATAGCCTAGAAGTAAGACTTCAACCCAGTCTTTTTGCAGATAAAGAAGCTGACCAGTTATCTAAAATGAAAATTGATATAGTTTTTACCATTTGGGGAAAACAGGTAAAGAGTAGTGATTTCTAAATACGATTTTTTTTAAAGTAAAAATAACAATTAAAAGACTGATGTGTGTTTCATGTTTTCTAGTTTGTAGAGGACTATGAACCTACTAAAGCAGACAGCTACCGGAAGAAGGTAGTGCTGGACGGGGAGGAGGTGCAGATCGACATCTTAGATACAGCCGGGCAGGAGGACTACGCTGCAATTAGAGACAACTACTTCCGGAGTGGGGAGGGCTTCCTCTGTGTCTTCTCTATCACAGAGATGGAATCCTTTGCAGCCACAGCTGACTTCAGGTATGGCTGAGCCTAATCTCAGGTTGTACACGTGACTGTTCTTTCCAGAAACAGGTGGATAACTAGAGCTTTTTGCTTATTAATCTTTTAGTGTCTTGAATAGTGTGTCTTTACACTTTGATGTCAGTGTGTGACTCTGGCCACTGTGGATATACGCATACATATTCAGATCTTACAGCTGCCCTAGCATTAGCACAGTGTGGTTTCAAGTACCCAGAGACCCCTTATGCTTTCCTAAGCCATCTCTCTTTAAGAGTACAGCATTACTGTTGCTGTGATAGTACAGGGGTCACAATGACGCTCTCCATAGTTTTGTAGTTATTAATTTCTAAGCACTTGTGTCATAGTCAAGGACACATTGCCATTCTCCTTACAATATCGGTGTCTAGAATTTTTAAAATACAAATAATCTTATAGATTTACATGTTCTCATTTATAAAATGAGAATAATCATCACTGTCAATTAGCATACTTGACTGTGTTCTACAGTGTATTTTCTTTACTTTGTACCTAATCAGAGTATAGCATACGTTTGGCTTAGAGACAAATGGCATTACTCTATCTGAGGAACATCGGCATGAACAATCTCTGGAGTAATCTTGAAAGTACTGAGTGCATCATCAAAGATGCTCCTTCCTTCTATATTTTTGTTTCTGTGATATGAATTTCATTGTGCAAGGCACAAAAGAAGCATGTACTATGTCCTCTAATCAAGATTTGCACAGCCTAGTTGTATATATAAGGCATGAAGTAAAACCTAATGGAGGGTAAAGTAGGAAACATGGGCAGTGATATTATAGAAGATCCAGAAAGGGGAGGGATTGGGAAAACTTCACAAAAAAGATGAGCCTGTGAGAAATAATGAGCCTTAAAGGAATCTAAGAGAGTAGTCTTCCCCGTACAAAGGCATATAATTGAGAAAATGCACAAGATAACTTGATTTACAAGATTAGATTTGTTGTTTCTGTAAAGGAATTTCATATGTGATATTGTATAAAGGACTACAGATCCTGGAAACTTATAAACTAGAGACATGGAAAGTTATGTAAGTGTTAATGTATGCCCATCCATTCCTCCAGAAAATACAAAAGGGTTTATTATGTAGCAGGCCCTGTGTAGGTAATGGAATACATTTTTTTCACCATAGTTATTATGGACCACTCTAGGAAATCAGGATGATTCATTGCTCTTCTGTGTACCTCCAGTATGTTCCCTTCCCATAAAGAAAAGTGGGCCTAGTGACTCAGCAACAGCGGGGAAGTCTGGCTGGTCACGGAAGGTACTCCACGTGATCTACCCTGCAAGTGTAGCCCAGGTGCTACTTCCTAAATATCTGCAGCCTCCACCCTTCCTGCTCACCTGTCACCAGGGCAGGCCATTGCTTCCTGTCTCCTCAAATGATGTGTTTGTACAGTACTAGTGTCGCACTTACCATGCCACACTGCTCTTAGTATGTGTGGGTGGTTTGCCTGAATGCATGTCTATGCACCATGGAGGCTAGAAGAGGCCATTGGCTCCCCTAGAACTGAAGTTCCAGTTGTTAGCTGCCAAGTGGGTGGGAATAAAATCCTGGTCCTCTGGAAGAACAGCAAGTACTCGAACCTTCTGAGCCATATCTCCAGCTTCACATTACCACACTCTTGTACTGAACTTGACTTCTATATTTTTCCTTACCAAGTAAAAAGTCTTGAGAGCAGAACTCATTTCTTTCTCACCTACAGCAGTTACGATCATATAACAGTATGCTGCATGGTAATACATATTGGACTTGAGAACTGTGCACTCTGAACTTTTGGGAGCTCCCTTTCCTTATGTATGAAATTGGGCCATATTTTAAAGGGACTTTCATATTTTAAAATTTTTATAGCAATGTCTGTATTAATAGTAACTATAGCATTAAGCAAAATATGTATGAAGGTTACAGACCTAACAGTATCTTTCTGTGACAGGAAAGTAGTTAATAAAAAAACAAACAAACAAAAAAAACAAAAAAACATGTTATGCCTAAGAAAAATCATCTTCCTGGGCATAGAATGATGGCTCTGTGGTTAAGAGCACTTGTTGCTCTTGTACCCAGGTTTAGTTTCCAAAAGCCACATAATGGCTTACAACCATCCCTAACTCCAGTTCTAAGGAATCCAGTACCCTCTTCTGACCTCCACAGGTACCAGTCATGCATATAGTACACAGCCATACATGCAAACAAAACATCCATACATAAAATAAATAAATCTAAAAAATAAAAAATAAAAAGAAGAGTCATCATCTTGCCTCTGGCCCAGTGGGTTCAGGTCTTCCATGTTTCTGATAAGTGTGGTCACTGTAGTTTCAGAATGGGTCTTCCTGCAGCACCTGGCTAAGTGGCGCATTTATCAGCAGCACAGGAGACTAGGAGCATAAGTCAGTCACTCGCTGAGTAGTTAGGAGACCGAGTGGTAGTCATTGTCCTTAGCATCTTAGCTCAGTCTTCAGCTTGGAAGAAGCTGACCAAGAAGGTAACTAACCAGGAACTGAGCCCAGCACTGGACATGGCAGGGCTACAAAGGAAGTTTGAGGCCAACCTGAAACCATGAGAATCTGTTCCTTAATAGACAAAAATGTAATAGAAATTTTGTTGTTGCCAGCCCCAGAAACAAACTACGATGGGCCAAAATTCTCTCTACAAACCTAACAATTAAATAGCAAAAATGGCGAGTTGTTGATATACTTTCTCAAGATATTGTGAGTGGTAACCAATATAACACATGGAACTGTACAAACTAATCAGGTCTATTTTGTTATTGTGAGTGGTAACCAATATAACACATGGAACTGTACAAACTAATCAGGTCTATTTTGTTGACCTACTACTCAAATAGTCCATTAACATTAACATTAACATAACATTAACATTAACATTCTCATTTTTTCTCAACTGAAAATGTTTACATTCCTATAATTTCTGCATCTTTCAATAATTTCAAAGGCATGGCATGTCTAAGATAGCAAGATATTCTAAGTAAGATATTTCTATTTCTTAATTTAAATCTGTAGTTACACTTATTTATTTTGTGTGTGCATGTGTGCACGTGTGTGTGCACGTGCGCCTGTTTACATGTGCCATAGGATAAATGTGGAAGTCAAAGGACAGTGGGAATCTACTCCCTTCTTCTAGCATGTGTGTGCAGAGAATGAGCTCGGGTTGTCAGGCTTGGCAACAGGAGCCTTTCCTAGCTGAGTCATCCAGCCGGCCCATCTTCCTTCATTTTTTTAACTGAAAAGGCCAGACAGGATTGTGAATACCTGTAACTCCAGTTCCCTGTGATGCTGAGGCAGAAGAATCACAAGTTCAAGGCCAAACCACACTGGCAACTTAGTGAGACCTCTCAGAATGAAAGGGATTGAGGGCATAACTCAGTAGTACAGCTTTTGCCCAGCATGCACAAAGCCTAGGATTCAGTCCTATGATCTGTAAAATAAATACACAAACAAACTAGCTAAGGATCTCCCTCCAGTAAACAGTAAGAGCACCTGCAGCTTACTACATAAATTGTTATATACCATATATAGACACTTCCCTTCTAATCCTCACAGCAGTGGTGTGGTAATGCATTGTCAGTCCATGTTACAGATGAGGGAGGTGAGGCAAAGTACTTTGCTCAGAATCACATGACTACGAAGAACAGAGTCATGGCACTTTACAATTGGTAATACCTTTGTAATATATAACATCTTTATATAGAAGAGCTACCTTCAGAAATTTCTGTCCTGTGTGGGGCTTTCAAAGCACTTGGGGGAACCTTTGGAATATAATAAGAATAGTGCTATCTATCTTTGAGAACTTCTTCTATAATCCCAGTTGAATTATGAGAAAAACATCACAAAAAAACCAACTGACAGACATACTGTAATGTTCCTCCCTCAACTCTTCCAAGGAAATCGTCAAAACAAGCATAGTCTTAGAAGCCACACAGCCTATTGGAGTGTCAGGAAACTAAGTGTTGCATCATGCCCTGAATGAGTGCCTGGAGCAGAAAAAAGATGCTGTGCACAAATTGGGAGCATCTGGCTGAGAATGGGACGCTGTGGTGGAACACTTGTCTAGCATCTATGGGGCCCTGAGTTCCGTCCAACACTGAGGGGAAACACTAAAACAAAAATACAACTAAGGATAGCCAAATAAAGTTTGGATCTGGATAGTAAGTGATATGTGATGTTGCTGATGCATGAAATGTGCTCACACTCACACAGCAACCAAGGAAAGTAAAGTCACCTGCACTGGAGCATGTCCTCACAGCTTTTCTGCTACTGCTATGCTTGTGTTCCCGACTTTGCTATATTTCTCTATTGTTATTTAAGGAAATACGTAGCTGGATTGATCAATGGGAGGTAATAAATCAACTTGTTACTATATAGAAACATGGTCGTAAATAAATTCTGATTGCAGGTGGCTAGTTGTTGTATTGTTTATTTTTAGATTTATTTTATTCGTATGAGTGTGTTTTGCCTTCATGTAGGTATGTGCACTATATGTGTGCCTGGTACCCACAGAGATCAGAACAGGGCATCAGATCCCTTGGAGCTGGAGTTAGGAATGGTTGGGAACCACCATGCAGGTGCTGGGAACTGAACCTGGGTCCTCTGCAAGAGCAACAAATGCTCTTGACTGCTGAGCCATTGCTCCAGCCCCAATTTTGTAATTTTTAATGTATAAGCATTGTGTTAATATTTCTTTCTTGCTTTTACTTACCTAGGGAGCAGATTTTAAGAGTAAAAGAAGATGAGAATGTTCCGTTTCTCCTGGTTGGTAACAAATCAGATTTGGAAGATAAAAGGCAGGTTTCTGTAGAAGAGGCAAAAAACAGAGCTGACCAGTGGAATGTTAACTATGTGGAGACATCTGCTAAAACACGCGCCAATGTTGACAAGGTAAAATGTGGCTCTCACTGTTACTTCGGGGTGTGTAAGTTGATTGGCCTGTTATACTACTTTATCTAGATTCTGAGATCCAAACTAAGATTTAATAGAGTGATTTTTTTTTTTTTTTTTTTTTAGTTTGCTTTTATTTATTGGGGAGAGGGATGCCATAGCACACCTGTGGATGTCAGAGGCTAACTCACAGGAGTCTGTTCTCTCCTTCCACCAGAGATTAAACTCAGGTCCTCAGGCTTGGTGGCAAATGCCTTCATCCACTAAGCCATTTCAGCATCCCAGAAAGAGACTGATTTTTATCATCCCTAAATACTTAAGTAAGACATGTTAGAAATTTTATACTTCACCTTGTCTTTGACTTTTTCAGATACAAGACATTATGGCTAAATGTGCTTTTTAAAAATCAGCAGCAGCATCCCCCATCCCACTTACTGCTTAATTTTGAATGGGGTTGCATAGTGTAAAAGAAATTCGCTAGACTCTTAACATGCCAGCACTGTATGTGCTTCCCCTGACTGATGCCTTCCTGGTGCTATGTAAGGTCTCTAAAGGGAAGATGCCTTCTGGATGGAGGAACTCCTATTTAAGATTATTCTAAAGTCTCTATTACTGCTGTGATTCTTTATCCTCAGCCTTTGTTTTCCTGAGTACAAAGGGAAATCCTCTACATTCCCCTTATCTTCCTACACTGTGTATAGAGACCCTTCTTGGGAACTGTGTGGAACCCTTTCCAGGATTAGAGGAGACTATCTTCAGGGCTGAGATGGCTCTGGCTCTTAGAGACTCCCAGTAGGATGTTCTCCAGTCTCTATACTGTGACTGTCCATAGGAACCTCTTAAACCTACTGCACAGGCTAGCTGTTCATTATTCCTAACAAGCACACATCCTTAAGTATTGCTTTATACTTGGGGACCAACCTCCAGGAGCCCAGGGTATGCAAAAAAAAAAAAACTACAAAGGCGGCAAGGGCTAGACTTTTCTATCTGAGGGGAAAATAAGGAAGCATACATGCTTTGTGATGGTAACTTTCTCTTTTACTTCATCTTCAAAAAAATCATCTCTCTGTTTCCACACAGCTACATTCCATACAGTTAAATATCTGTCTTTACATATATACATCTCTCTGCACAACCACACATCTCTGTACATAGTTACAACTCTTTTCTATATAGTTTCACATCTCTCTTGTATACACATTTCTTCTCTGCTCTGGTACATTCCTTCACATACTACTGCATCATTCACTCACTCTTGACTCACTCATTTACTCTCTCTCTCAATCACTCACTTATTCACCTCTTCTCTCTACACTACATGCACATCTCTGTCCTATACAGCTACATCTATATCTTTCTACCCACTCAACTACATCTCTTCACACTTCTCTCACACTTTTACATCTCTCACACTTTTTCTACAGCAAAAATTCTGGACAAATATGAATCACATTTTCAGGGTCACAAAGCATTTCTTGAGTAAACAATAAGAGACAGAGCCATGAGAAATCACACAGTTTCTCTCAGGCTAGTATGGTCACGCTGACCGGGCATGGTGAATAGAGCAGACTTTGAAATTCAAGACTTAAGCAATAAACAATTAGTTTGCTGAACCTTGAGTGACCAGGAGTATGTGCAGAGAGTCAACTGCTGAGAAAATTTTGTGTACTAAAGTTGTTTTGTGCCTGACTTTGATTCAACAAACACTTGAGAACTTGTTCTTGTGTGTTCTCTGCAGGAGCAGCTAGTCTGTTTTGAATTTGTTCTAAAGTCTAAAATCAGCTAAATGTGTAAAAGGCAGTCTTTGTAGCTGAAAATTTTCCTGTGTCAGTAGTAGTAATGAAAAATATCCTAATATTATTTCTATTCATCAGAATTATACAGCTTAAGCAGAAATCATCTTCCTGACCATCCACAGCTATATGTGTGCCCAATAGATGGAATATTTTCACAAGATAAACATACAAGCAGTGGGAAAACACCTATAGCTGTTTTTAGGGAAGAAATGTAGTAGCACATGAGAAAAATTATAGACAGAAGCAACCAGTCATTTACAGTCAGTAACCTCATGGTCTTTGCCAAATGAGGTTCCCCATCAGAGAGTTATTCATCTGGTAGGTCAACCTGTTAAATACTAGTTGTCACCTGCTGTATACTCCCATGACTTTCAGCACTTAAGGCTCACCACTAGAGATTTTTCTGCAACATTTGTTCTGGAACAGGGCCTGAGCATTTGCATTTCTAGAAAGCTTCCAGATGGGCCACACTTGAGTCACGTTTCTGTAGATGGCCTCAAGTTTTTGTAGATTGGTCTGCTTATACTTACAAGTCCATAATCCTGATTTAGAAAGCATAAGGTTGGCCAGGCGTGATAGCATGACCTTTAATCCCAGCACTGAGGAGGCAAAGGCAGGCAGAGCTCTGTGAGGTCAAGGCCAGCCTAGTCTACATAGTCACGGTGAGAGCATGTCTCAAGAAGAAACACACATACACACTAAGAAAAGAAAAAGAAGATTGAGGCAGAAAGCATAAGGTTAAAAAAAAATCATAAGTTCTTTTTGTTCATCTGTGTTAGGGTTTCTATTGCTGTGAAAAGAAACCATGACCCCGGCAGCTCTTAAAAAGGAAAACATTTACTTGGGGTGGCTTACAGTTTCAGAGGTTTATTCCATTATTATCATGGCAGGTCATGGCAGCATGCAGGCAGACATGGTACTGGAGAAGGAGCTGAGAGTTGATCAACAGCAACAGGAAGTGAATTGTCTCATGGGGTATAGCTTGAGCATAGGAGACCTCAAATCCCACCCCTACAGTGACATACTTCCTCCAACAAGTCCGCACATACCTACTCCAACAAAGCTACACCTTCTAATAGTGCCACTCCCTATGAGCTTATAGGGGCCAATTACATTCAAAGTACTACAATCTGTAATAGATATAATGGCATCATTATAATTAAATTTTTGTAGGAATGTGATCAGACTTTTAATACTTATATACAGTGAGTCCTAAAATATTTCTGTTCCATATGATATACTGGTTTCTGTAAGATTATGTTAAATATTTTTAAAGTACTTATATATTTTAAGATTCAGTGTCTTGGGTGGATGGGGGTGGAAGGAAAAATTGAACATTGTTGGAACATACGAGTTCTTTCTTCCTAATTGTCTTAAGCAGCTTCTGAACATCCTAAAAGTGACTGGGACTAAAGAGAAGAGAGGCAAATAGTAGCAGTCCACAGAGATGAGCTGTGCTGTCACAGCTTTGTGGTAATTATCTGCTGACCTCAGAGGCTGTGGAGGTGAGATCAGAGTACTCACAGGATAGTGAGAAGACAGCCATCGATCTAGCAAGACTGCAGTCCAAATGCATTACAGGAAAACAATGTAGATGGCCTTCAACTTGAGAAGGAGCTGAGTCTTACCTGTAAAAACAGAAGTACTATTTAAAAACATAACGTCATATTTTTAGTCCATCTCATTAGGAAAATTAAGATATATTCTTGGCAAGAATGTAGAAAAGGCCTCATGCTTATGGACAGGCAGTGTGGTGGTTATCTATCACTTCCAATTCTAAAAGTGTGTTGATCCTAGCAGGGACAAGAGGAAGTGGCACAAAGTGCCACTCCTACCCAAGAAACTCTTAGTTATTTATGGTGACTGGGAGAGAGAAAATCCGTTTTCTCCAATGCACTGTCACTGGATTTTATCAACCTACACTGCAGGGCAGCTCAGGGGTAGTTGGCCAACACAAAAGGGACTCCGTGGTTTTGGTATGTTTTTTATTTTATTTATTTGTTTGTTTGTTTATTGTCTTGGGGAGGAGGTGTATGTTTGTTTTCATTTGTTTTTGTGTTGTTTGAGAGTGAAAAAAGAAAAAATAAAGTTGGGTGGATAGGGAGATAGAGAAGACTGGAAGGAAGGAGTTGGGGGAGAGAAAGAATATGATCAAAATATATTGTATGAAAAAAATTTAGAGCCAATAAACACAAAATTATTGAAGTAACAAATTAAAGTGTATTTAGAGAAAAAATCATATGTATATATATTTTTTTACAGTTGTAGCCATTGAAACAATATTTATAGATGCAAAAGACTAGAACTACATGTGTCCAATAACTAGTTTTAAGTCATGATGAATCTTTATAATGAACCATTAAAAGGAAAAGGTGCTTTTACACACTGTGCCATCTCTCCCCCAGCACCCACAAATCTTTCTACTACAAACAGTACTGCACTGAACTTTCTGTGGGTGCTCAGAAAAAGGCAAGGATTCTTTTTAAACTATGATGACAAAGTGCCCACCGTAATAGTCTCCTTGTGTTCCATCATCTTTATAAGAAGCCATTTTCATATAGCCTTTCTAGTCGAATTTAAACAGCCATTACAACTTACATGAAAATGGTGAGCCCTGATGACCAGTGAGACTGCTCAAGCCTTGATTGATTCATTGGCCTGCTGTCAATCTTCTGCCAAGTCTGAATTCTCTGTTTTCTGCCTGCCTATCAACAGACTTCATATCTTTTGATTTGTGTCTACTTTATACTAATAACATTGATCCTTTGTTCACTTTCCTCTGTTGTCATTATTGTCTCCTTATCAGCACATGTCTTCACTCGGCATACTTCACTTTAACCATGAAAGACATGGAAGACTGTGCTGTCAGAATTTGGGTGGTTTATTTTGTGATTTCTGGGTTGGGTGGCTTAGAGCCTTCAACTATTATAAGCTTTACATATACAGTTACTTTCTTTTTGTATTGGTTTTTATAATAGCTCCTTAGTCTTCTTGAAAGTTTAATGTAGTCTGTGGTGTGAACTCAGGGCCAAAATATACTTAAAGTGGAAATACTGATGAGGGTAGTTTTTATTTTTCAACCATAGATATTTTAAGTCAAGCATAAGCCTTTGGATTTGTTTTGTCTGCCTTTATTTTGATTTATGTGAAGAGGATTTCCTGTAGCACTAATTGTTAGACAGTCTTATTAATAAAAACAAAGCTGGAGCCAGGTATTGGGGTGAATGCTAGAAGATCAGAGAAGCAGAACAAGCCACAACCACCTTACCTTGCCAATTCCTCAGCTGATCCTATTTCCTCAGACTGGAACCTTCTGAGTCCTCAGACTGGAAGCTTCTGAGTCCTCATCCAAATGGATCTCAGCTGAACTGTGCTGCTCAAAGCCTAAAAGCTTAACCAGGCTCTAGTTCCTTGTCCTCACACCTTAAATACCTTTCTGCTTCCTGCCATCACTTCCTGGGATTAAAGGCTCACTGTTACCATGCCTGGCTGTTTCCGGTGTGGCTTTGAACTCATAGAGATCCAAATGGATCTCTGCCTCTGGAATGCTAGCATTAAAGGCGTGTGTGCCACCATTTTCTGGCTTCTAGATCTAGTGGCTGTTCTGTTCTCTGACCCCAGATAAGTTTATTAGGGTGCACAACATTTTGGGGAACACAATATCACCACAATTTCCTGTGGTCATTAGTGTAGAATTAGCCAAATTTCATACATACTAGGTGCCCTAAAATGAGAAGAGGATGGAGCCAGAACAGGATGGGAGGAAGGAGAGAGAAATGTAGTAAAGAAGTTAATGGTCCTCTGATTGGGGGACTGCTGGTTGTCTGGTCCTTGTTCCTGGTTGTCTGGTCCTTGTTCCTCTTTTCTAGTTGCTGTTTCCTTTAGTTGGATCTTGAAACGGGACTTTTCTTTAATTCATCAAATTAGCTGATGCCAACTTTCAAGGTTTTCTACCATGTTTTCTAGTTTGGGTGGTTTCTAAAAGGGATTCGCTTATTAGAAATTTAAGCCTTCTTATATATCCTTTTCATAGTGCACTGTATCTGTCAGCAGTAGAGATGAGTACTGGAGGGCTCTCATGAAGACTTTTGGTCAGAAAGAAGGCTTCCTGCTAGAGCTAGTCCCATCTGGATTGGAAGCAGAGGCTTCCGAAATCTCTGGGAGAAGTTGAGATCCAACAGTGGTGTTTATGCCATTGTGGTATTTCAGCATTTATGTGTCCCCCACCTCTGGAATTTACCCTTTAATCATTCATTCCTCTTTTGTGCCATTATAGTATTTTATAGCACCCTCACTTTCTTGTCTAAATTTTATATTTCTTGCTCCAGCTCAAAAATCAGCTATTTACCTATTATCCTTGGTTCCTTTGATAGATTGTTATTCAGTAGCCTCAACCTGAGAATATTTGTCAGTTAGTATCACTTTGTGGATTTTCACTGAACCATGACAAGGGGTACTTTTTAAAAATGGAAGAAAAGCTCGTGAATTCACATGTGACCAGTTCAGATTTGCTATTGTAGATCCTTACCACTTTGAGGTACCATTCCCCTGGAAATCCTGGCTTCACAGCAACAGAACAGCACTGTGTTGTCCTGTAGTGGGAGGGACTTTCACAGTAAGCCACAGAGTGACTCTTGAGACTTGTTTGGCTTTTTTGTTGTTGTTGATGGGATTTGGGGTGTATGTATGTGTGTGTGCCTGTGTGTGCATATGTGTGAATATGAGTGTATACATATGTGTATGTGTTATTCAGGATCACACCTAGAACCTCATGCATGCTGAGCATCTTTGTGGTCCTTCTTGTTGATGGACTTTTGTTTTTATTTTTAATCTTTAACACCTAAGGTGAATTTGCCATGTAATATGTTCCAAAGGTTTTCCAAAGACTCTTGAAGTACTGCTTTCCTCTTCATGATTGTGTCGTCAACTTGAATGTAAATTATTCTTGTTTTTAGTTTTCAATTTTTAATGATTTTTATGTTTTATTACTGGTTCTAATGTACACAATTTTAATTTTCCCAGGTAGAAATTACTTAACAAAGTATATTCAGAGGTGCCCAATGGTTCTGATGTCTTCCATTGCTCTTGAAAACAGTTCTCCTAAGAAGCTAGTGGGTGTTTGCCTCATCATTTCATTGCTTCCCTTTTACAAATGCAAGCAGATGCGCATGCCCTGCTCCTCCCACACCGGTGCCTTCTCCATGTGTCTGTACCTTACAGTTTTCAGTTGGTTTCCCTTGAGAGCTAAAGGCATGTTAGACATTGCAGTCATTGTCATTTGAGGTATATGTGTACATGTGACATGTTATCTTTTATATTTCTTGTTTGTTTTTAGTCTTATTGAGGTTGAGGGTTTTTTTTGTATATTTTTTTAATTCCATAAGTAGTAACAATTTTTGGAGAAAATTCAAACATTTGTAAAGCTTAGACAGGAAATTGATGAGTTCGAGGTAACAAGACTCTAAAAACCAACAGAATGTTAGAATATGGACTGTGAGAGTTAATTTCCCCACTCACACTTAGCTTATTATGTTTTTCTAGGCCTTTCTTTGTTAGAGAAGATTTATAATTGAAATTTAATGTCTCAGTTATTTCACTAGCAATTTTTAGTTACTATGATAATTTTTTCATTATAAACTTAATCACCATTAATTAGCAAAGTACATTTGTTGGTCACAAAGTGCTCAAAATATATATTTATATGGTCTGGAGAGATGGCTCAGCTGTTAAAAGCACTGGCTGCTCTTGCAGAAGACCCAGGTTCAGTGCCCACACTCATAAGACAGTTCAGAACAATCTGGAACACCAGTTCCTAGGGATCCATTGCCTTCTGGCCATATCAGGCACACAGCACACCATTGGTGCACATGCATACATTTAGGCAAAACACTCATACATAAAATATAATAGCCTTTCAGAAGTACTTCAGTTATCACTTGAGTTTTATCTTGGGCCCTATCATTACTGTATAGCAGTTTTCATTGGAGTCTTGAGAATGACTATAAATAGACTTTTTTTTTTTCTTATACAAAGTGTTTGTTTCTTATACAAACCAAGAGGTATATGCCATTCAGAAAAGTTGCTGTTTTTTCTCAAGCTCCTTGGAGGCTCCGACTTGCTTGTGTGCTTTCCTCTGCTGCACTCGCCAGCAAGCCTTCTTAGGGGCAGGGCAGCAGGTGCCACCCTGTGAGGTGTCCTGGGTCCATCTCAGGAAGGAGCTCTGGATAAGGTTCTCTCATCCCCAAGGTTTGCTGCTGTGACAGGGAAGCACCGAGTTCATGCTGTTGCCTATTTTATTTACTCTTTCTTATTATTTCCAGGTATTTTTTGATTTAATGAGGGAAATTCGAGCCAGAAAGATGGAAGACAGCAAAGAAAAGAATGGAAAGAAGAAGAGGAAAAGTTTAGCCAAGAGAATCAGAGAAAGATGCTGCATTTTATAATCAAAGCCCAAACTCCTTTCTTATCCTGACCATACTAATAAATGTAATTTATAAGCATTGCCATTGAAGGCTCAATTGACTGAAATTACTCTAACATTTTGGAAATTGTTATGTATCACTAAAAGCATGAATTGGAACTGCACTGGAAGTCAAATTCACTTAAAAAGAAATTGTGTGGCTTCACCAAGAAGCGAGCTCAACTTACTTCATAATTGCCTACATTTATCACAGTCCTGAATGTAGCGTGTAAGCTTGTTTTTTTGGGGGGGGCGGGGGAAGCGGGGACAGTCTTTCTTGAACTGTTAATCAAGAGGTGAGATGGGGTGGGGTGGGAGGAATGGCCACTTCCTCTGGTGTTTATTATAAAGCTTAAATTTTATATTATTTTAAAATGTCTTGGTCTTCTACTGCCTTGAAAAATGACAATTGTGAACATGTTAACTGTACCACTTTTTAAACTGTTGTTATGCAAATCTAGAAGAAGAAGTTACTGGCATGGTTGTTGCATATAGTAAAACTGAGAGTAATTCATCTGTGAATCTGCATATTAATTACCTGGTAATTAACTTAGAAAAATGGTGTGAACTTATACATGGATATTTTTGAATATGCCTTAATTTAGAAACTGAAAATAATCCAGTTACATCATTCTGGGTGTGTTTTCACTAGCACTTGGGGCCACTCACTGCCCACATGACTGGTAACAGGCTTTATCTTGCCAGGCAGTGTAGAGCTACAAGGAAGATTCCTGAGAAATGTGTGTCTGCTAGGAGTCTGACCAAATTGATGATGTGTGCCATACTCTGGTTCTTAGAGTTCCAGAGCTCCTTCATTGATTTTAATGAACTATAAGGTAGTTAAAGATGAAGGGCCAGCATATATTTATATGATGATTTTGGATTATGGGCGTGAGTACCAATTAAGTTTGAGTGAGTGCTCCTTTTATGTAGGATGCTGGTCCCAGTAATCACTTTCTGCAAGTGATATGCATTTAAGTGTTTAATCTCCTGGAAGCAGGGCATAGGGAAGACCATCAGGAGAGCTAATGTGGTTTGCACTAGGACACTTGAGGAAAGATGCTTGCCACCTGTCAGTTCTAAATGTGTACTCATGAGGTTACAGTCTGGGCATTAGGAGGAGTCTTTGTAGTCTCTTTATGTTCATAATGAATACTGTACCTATATTTCCTAAGGTTAACATGAAGCAGTTGAACATGTTTGGCACACTCTGACCAAATGTCAGGCTGTAATGTTTCTGCTGCAAGAATTCAAGCATGCTGTTAGGAAAATAATTTCAATGGGAAGAAAACCACTATTAGATTTTTCTTTTCTTCTGTGAGGCTAAGACACTTGATTAAACAGTTTTTCTTGTTGCACAGTCCTAATTTCATCAGGTCAAAGAGATGCTCAGGCATTCCAGGAAACAAGTGTATACATGAAGTTACCAGAGACAGGCGTTCAGGAACTCTGCTGTCTAGATACTACATTCAGCATATCATAAATCTTTGTCCTTCAAGGGTTTGGTTTAATCTTTTCACAGGCTAGGCCATGTGCAGTTAGAGTTCCCTGTGTAACCCCAGCCAGCACGCCCAGCATGGCTGCGTACGCTCATTGCAGCCTTGTTGAGCCAGGGGCCTAACCACTAACATTGCAGTTTGCTTTGAGACCTTTCCCTCTCCTGGGTACTCGGTGCTATGAAGCCAGCTGACAGAGATGCATCACATGTCTTAGGCTGATGCCACTACCCGGTTCATTTATTTGCAATTTGAGCCATTTAAAGACCAATAAACTTCCTTTTTTAAAAAATGTTTGTGGTGTTAATTAATGTTTACAGTGTGATATTTTTACTTTACCCCTTGGGCATCATGATCAGAGATGAAAACAGCTGAATCTTTTGAGCCATTAGTTTGGAGACCTTCTTGGAATGGCAGATAAATTAATAATAAATTATGGTGGTGTAGGTGCTCAGGTTTAAGTTGGTGCCCAGGATGGGAGATTCCTGTGCACAATTGCCGGCAGATGGGCTCTGCACTGTCATAAAAATCTCAGCTGCCTTCTCCTTCAGATACTTGTAAGTTCGTATTTGTTTTCTAATCAGAACATTCCAGAGACAGTTTTGCTTCTAAAGGTTGGTAGGAGTGACCACCCTGTTACCTTTAACATTGGATGTCTTCTGGTAAATCGTGGCCCTTAACTGTTGAATGGACTTTGAGTTAGAAGATCACATCCTTCCAAATGCAGTTTGTCTAAATACCATAACTCATAAGCAGTGATGGAAGGAGTGCACTTACATTACAACTGGAGTAATCAGCCAAACACCGTGAAACATGATGCTGACTGCTATGAACCCGTCCAGTTAGGCTAAGTTCTAGACTAAATCAGAATGCCATAGCTCATTTTTAACTTCAGTTGCCTTAGTGAACCTGAAAGGTGAACTATCAAAGCATTCTCTAAAATTCCCAGAGAGGTGTCAAAAATTACAAAGCTCTTTTTGCAAATTCCTTTGGGTGTCAAGAACGTGTCAATAGTGCATGCCTTCAGTTTTCAGTAGTATTTTTTGATTTGCCTATTCTGGCTATTGCTGGGAATATGCCAGTGAAGGGAAGACAGGTTAAGGGCAATCACAACAGTTGCTACTAAAGGAAGTGCCTACACACCCCATATGCAAGGAGAGGATGTGAAGCTAAAAGATCTGAGATTAAACATAGTTCTCCTTAATCTTACTGCTAATCCTTTTAATAGTAGCAAACATTTACCTGCAGGTAAAATACTAACCTTATAGATTTAACTGGAGGAAATAGGTGCTCTTGTTAGCTTTTATTTTGCACATGAGTGTGGGGCATAGGAAAGGATGACTTTGAACATTTGATTCTCCTGCCTCACTAGTGCTGGGGTTGTTGCATGTACAAAATTATAGGATGCTGGGGATCAAATCCAAGAACTCATGCATACTACAAAAGCCCCAGACCCCCAGTTCATACTCTAGAAGCAGAGTGGAGCTGAGACTATATAGAAAATAATTCATTTCAAGTTCACTAAGATGGGAATCACCTAAGGTTTCCCAGCATTTAAGGGTCTTTAGAAAGCTGGTGGATGTTGCTGGGTAAACAGAAAAGCTTCTGCTTGCATCCTGGTGGCTATCCCCCCACCCCCATCCCCACCCCCCAGAGAGAAACTGCAGAGCTCAGCCTGGAGTCAGACTGTGTGCTTTTATTTCCCATTTCAGTCAAAAAGCAGCACGGAGCCTTCACCCACAAGTTACTGCAAAATCATTTCTTAGTCCTAAGCTCCAGTAACTCTGCACACAAGCTGTTGTAGAGGCGTGAACAGGGGTGGAGGGGCTTTTAGTTATCCATTAGTACTGATGTGCCTTTCTAGGCATGAGAAAGGTGCAAAGGGTTTAGCTTTCTGTGTGTTTGTGGTGCTGGGAATCCAACCTAGGACCTTATGTATGCTAGGCAAGCACTCTACCTAGTGATCTGTATCCCCAAATCTAGTTTAGAAAAGCTTCAAGCCATGATAACACGTGATATATCTGGTAGAAGGACAAAATTGCTTTTTATCAGAAGCCCCAAGGGAAGAACACCTAAAGCATTTAAGTACTTCAAACATCCTTATACCTAGGGCAGGGGATGTTTGAACCAGCCAAGTAGAGTGGGAGCTTGAACTGAAAAAAAACATAGCTGGCATGTGGACATTTGCTCCAGTGTCCCTGTAACTGTTACAATTCATACCCCCTTTAATAAGAGTTTCTGTGTGACACCGTTTAACACTGATTAAACCATGAAATAACTCGAGTCTATTTTATTTGGTATGTTGACAAAAAAAAAAAAAAAAAAAAAAAAAAAAAAAAAAACAGGAACTGGAAAACTAGTTGAAGAATCCAGAGACTCAAGTTGTCTCCCTTCAGTATTCCCTGAATCTGAGCACTAAGAGGACTCTCAGAGAGAAGTAAACTGCAGAGACCAGGTGGCCTTGTCAGCTAGAGAAGCCAGATCAGGACTTAATTCTGTGCTTCTGGGTCCTTCTTGCTTCTCCCACCCCCTTCCAGCATCTCACAACAACCAGGAATCCCTGTGATCGGTTTTCTGTAACCTGATAATAGGTCTCACAGTAAGCCAAATCAAACTGAATTTTAAAAGACCAGGTTTATTTGGACAAAGCACTCCAGCCCCCAGAGACCAAGGTAGGGGAGTTGGAACAGGAGAAAAACCACACAGCCAGTAGTCTAAAGGAAGGGGCTTAAATACCCTGCAGTTGAGGGACACTGACATCTGCTGCAGGCTGAGTCTGTACCCAAGTATGGTATGCCAATCTAGACAGGGTTCTGAGCAGCTAGCAGCTTCTGGGGACCCTTGATGGTTTCTCCAAGAGGGCGGGGTTTGGAGAGGGAGGAATTGCCCCATCAAGCAGGGTGCGCTAGAGATGCCAGCTGAACACCCTGTACTTGCCTAGCATTCTCAAAGCACTAGGTTCAATCCCCAGCATTGCCAGAAAGAAAAATAACTGATGACTGATGTAGGGAAGGTTGTAATTGGACTTTCTTTGGACCACGAGCCCCTGAATAATGACACAGAATTTTTTTAATTATAAAACCTTGTCCTTAGCTTAGGCTTGTTCCCAACTAGCTTTTAAAATGTAAATTAATCCATTTATATTAATCTATGTTCTGCCACGTGGCTTGACACTTCTCAGTATCCTACCTCCAGCTTCCTCCAGGTATGGCTGGTGAATCCCCAACTCTCAGATTTTTCCCAGAGTTCCTCTCTCTGCCCAGAAGTCCTGCCTATCCTCTCCTGCCTAGCTGTTGGCTATTCAGCTCTTTATTAAACCAATCAGTAGATGCCTTAGGTAGGTGAGGTAAAACAGACACCTTCACACAGTGTACAAAAAGATTATCCCAACAGAGGGCGGAGTATGAAGACCCTGGAAGGAAGGATGGGTCAGAGATGCAGCCACTGGTAGCCAAAGTTATCTCTAAGAGAGAGAAAATGATTACTAGAGCCAGGGAAGTATCAGGGAAGGGATGGAGAGAAAATGGTTAGTAGGTACGGGAATATAGTTAGGAAGAGTAACTTAGTGATCTGTAACACAATAGGACAACTATAATCAACAATTAACTGAACTAATAGGTAGTTGTCAGGGTCGGTCCAGTCCTGACCTGTTGAAGGATTCTTGGAGTGAAGAGGGAGGAAGTGAGAAATAATAGGAAGATATATAGATGTAGAGAGAGAGAAAGACAGAAACACAGGATGGTTTCAAGAGAGCCCTGGGTTAACACCCAGCTGCCTGAAGTTTACTCATGGTAGAATTTTTATGTATCAGCAAGGGGAGGAGCAAAAGACTTCCCCCTCTCAAGGTCGGGGTATAAAGTACCAACAAGTGTAGACTCTTCAAAATACCTGGTAACCACGGCCTTGACCAATTTGTCCCATTATGCAGCCCTACTGGGTAAAGCAAGCTCAGACTTTCTGACCTTGAGTAAGGCCTTACTAGGGAGCCTCCGTGGGCTCCCACAGGCAGTGCACAGGATTTTTAAT